TGCATGAATCATTTCCTCCCCCACCTCCAAAACCATCATAGATTGTTTCTTTTATCAAGAACTCCCCCTTTTTTAATGTACAACCCTCTCCCCCTCAAAAAAAAAAAAAAAAAAACCCACCAGGAATATATAATCGTTTAGGCAATCAAAGGCCATATTCTTGGAAGCCTGCCTCCTGGCCACCAGCTCCCAGCCTTTCTCTGCTTTCCTTGTTTTTTGACCTTGCACAAAGTACTTAACCTCCCTAAGGTAATTTAGCCTCTTCTGTAGAGTTGGGGTTTTGTTTGTTTGTTTTTCGGGTAGAGTTAATGATAACAGTGCCATACATTGCAAGGATGATACTCATTAAAACTCCACACATAGTCCCTGGTCTAAGAAGGATGGGATAAATGGTCGCTGCTATTATTATTAGTTGTTACTGTTAAAATTCACCTGATGCAGATGGAAAAAGAACTTTTGCTTATGCCCAGAAAGATTTGCTTGCTGTCTAGTCATAATAGTTCCTTCCCAACAAGCAAATCTGTTGTGCCTTCTGACAACTATAAAAAGACAACCTCTCTGAGCTTCACATCCTGCTGCCTCTAGATAAGCATGTTGTTAATCTCTCTTCAGGTGGCAGATTTCCCTTGGCAACTGCTTGTTCCATAAGTCCAGATTTGAAGTAGATTTATTCCGTGGTTATTCATTCAAAAGCATTCACCTGGGTACACGGCATGACAGTAGAGTCTGTTGGATGCTAATGCTCACATTCCATTGGTCTGGAGATTGGGGATCTGATGGAAAGCAAGTCCCTAGGATACCGGAAATACATGAGAATCAGTGAGAATTGGTATGGTTACCACAACAACTATCAACATTATTACTGTTTTCCTTCTATTACAGATGCCAGGATGAAGACCACATCGTCAGAAACAGGAGCCTTCAGGTGACTTTGGGTGTGTGCTGGAGGGTGGTTATCAGCATTTCTGAGGAGTGCAGGCATGGTCCTGTGTTCTGGGTGTAGCATGATATGTAAACTATTGAAGTAGGAGTAACTGTAGGACTACGTGACCTCTCTCTGGATAGCCCTGTGACTCCCCTATATCTGGGCTAAGCATTGATGGGCTAAGCTCAGTCCACTCATGCTGTTAAAACAAGCAGAACAAAAGCTGTGTGTTAACTCCTCTGTTTTACCTCCCTGTCTCTACCCAACCTCTGTCTTTTGATCTAGACTTCAGGCAGCTTGGGAATTTGGGTTTGAATCCTAATTTTCTCATTGTCTAGCTGTCTGACTTTAGGTGTATTGATTTAACACCTTTGTCCCCAGTGTCCTCATCTGTGAAAGGGAGGTGATAGTATTTATCTGGTTGGGTTATTACAAAGATCACAGGAACTAATCCATGTGAAAGCCCCTGGTCCAGTGCATGCTTGGCGCTTATTAGTAAGTGTATACTTAATCAGAACTCTCCTTTCTCCCTAGGGTTTCCTCACCAGGGATGGAAGAGACAGGCTGCAACAGAGAAATGCAGAGTTCCCTTTCACTTCACGATGTAAATGATTCTCCCATCAAGTCTTTTGTTTCCATTTCAGAAGCCACAGATTGCTTAGTAGACTTCAAAAAGCAATTTACTGTCCGACCAGGTAGCCGGGCACGTACCAAAGCAGGCAGGGGAAGAAAGAGAAAATCCTAAATGTCTATGGCTAGTAGGTTGACAAAGTCATTAGCAAAAGGGGTGAACCGTATTCATTAAACCTCCAGTTCATTGTTGAGCAGGTTTGGGCCTTACAGTTTTCACCACCAGACCCCATTCAGCATCTTGGTTTTTATGTTTTCTATTATCTATACAGACAACTGTGTATAGTATTCTGTTTTATAACAGTATGTTTGAATTCACTTGTAGTTGAAAGAAAGCTTAAATATATTTATCTATGTTTGTATGAAATGTTATTTCAATAAGTTGGAGATTTATCTCTTATTTTTCTCTGTATTTTGCTGGTTTGGGAGTGGGGATATTTTAATTGTAAAGGTAGTTCTCAGACTCATAAATTACTTGTTTCTGAATGAATTTCATTACTAATCTTTGACATATCTTCATTAACTGTGTAATGCACAATTCTGAACGCTGCATGGTTACTCTGTTGACCTTCTCTGGCATCATTCTGGAAGATGCCAGGGGTATTGAATCCTAGTATTTGTTCTGCTATTTCTACCATTCATTTACCCATAACTTCATCATGCTATTTTTGCCTAGTTAAGAATGATCGGATAGAGAATAGGACCTTTGTCTTGCCACTCTTCCCAGAAATTTGTAAGCAAACACTGTTATTAGTTCCTATGTAATTATTTTTTCTTCTCGATTAAGCTAATGGGTATGCCAGGTTTAAAAACCGAGACTGTTCTGCTCATTGCCAAAGGTCATATCAGCAAGAGGAAGTAGCTTCTAGTTCTGTACTATTACTGGAGCAGTGCATATTTTTGACCATGTTGCCCAGGAGCATCCAGTGCAGAATAGAGATGTGGTCTGTCCTCAGTGCTTGGGCAGACTCCAAAGAGAGAGGACACTGTGTAGCAGAAACAGCTACTTTGGGATACAACCAAAGAAGGGTGTTAAGAGAGCTAACTTTGGCCAGAGCCGATTTGAAGATGTAACGAAAAATTATAATATGCAAGGTGGCTCTTTGGACAGTTTAGACAGGGACACCACTCAGACGCTCCTGACTTTTGACTTATTTTAAAATGAAAATGAGCAGAAAGATGGAAAATATAGTGCAAGCCTTTAGCCATTGTGTCCTGCGTAGTTCCCTTTGCACCACAGCTCTTTGAGTTAGAAGAAGACAGATGGTGGCCTCACTGTTTGTTCCTTCTACAGACTATCTTGGTGTTGGATGACTCCAACATTGTGTCCAGTGGCACATAAATGCTAGCTGTTATTTTTCGAACAATGCTGTGGTCCAGGTAATGTATGTTTTTTACTTTAGTCTCAGAGCAGCCCTGTGAGGTAGACAGTGTTGTTGTTGTTATGTGCCATCGAGTCGGGTCCGACCCATAGCGACCCTGTATAGGGTTTCTGAGGGTGTAAATCTTTACGGGAGTAGAAAGCCTCATCTTTCTCCCGCGGAGCAGCTGGTAGTTTCGAACCGCTGACCTTAAGGTTCGCAGCCCGATTCGTAACCACTACGCTACCAGAGTATCATCCCCATTTTTCAGATGAAGCAAAGGTTCATAGGAACAAATGAAGCCATTCTTGTCCATGGCACAGAGACCATAGTGACCCTGCTTTTTGATCCTAAAGAAAACACTGTATTTTGATGATAGTATTGATTATTTTCTTGTTTTCCTTCTAATGAAAAATAGTTTATCAGTTATGTCCCATCAGCTTTAACTCTCTCTAGTTGTCTCTCTCATTAGTGACAATTTATTGGTGGTAGAGTACTATGAACGGAATAGTGTGTTAATCTCTCTGCTTGAAGATAAGAAAAGGGAAAAGGCTGATTCTAGAAAGTGAATTATTTAGCTTAGAATTGAGCAGGCTCCCTAGAACATGGCTCAGCTGTAGGAGGGTATGTCCCAGTAGGACCAAGAAGGGTATGCTTAGTTATGAGCTAATAAGGAGTCAAGGGAACAGTAGCTCCCACCCTGACCCCCCAGCCCTCCCCAGCAGTTGTCGGTAAGGGCAGCTCTTTTGTCCAGTCATGTTGTCTCCATCCTAGGAGTCTTGAGGGAGGAGCATTAGGCAAACAGTGAAGAGACTGGTAGAAAGGGTATCATGTCAGCCTGAGTCTGAGCCCCTGCTTCTCTCTGAATTATTCAGCCTCCCTGAGACCTAGTTTCCTTGTCTGTAAAATAGGGAAACTTACTTACAGAGTGCTAAGGATGAAGAAAACATATAGAAAAGATCAACATAGTGTTGATTATTGTAGAGACTATCATAAAGGCAGTGGTTCTGAACTTGGTACAGAATTGTAAGTTGTCAGTAGAGTCACCAGAGAGGCTCAATAGTCCAAGACACTTGCCCAGGGTTCGATTCAAACCCCAATTTCATGGGCACTGAAGCTCATGCTCTCTGTACTGTACTCCTCTTCCTGCCTCTCATTCAAGCCACAAAGCTGATGGCACTATGGAAATTCTAGATTTGGTTTATTTTACTATTATGGGCTCATTTTTGCCTAACTTGATTTTAGATGGGAATTTTAGGGGAAAGGAGCCAAAACCCCAAAACCCACTGCCATCAAGTTGATTCCAATTCTTTGTGACCCTATATACTGTAGAAGTGCTCCTTAGAGTTTCTGAGACTGTAAATCTTTATGAGAACAGACAGCCTTATATTTCTCCTATGGAGTGGCTGGTGGATTTGAACTGCCAACCTTGCAGTTAGCAACTCTTTGTTTAACCAACTCTGTTACTAGGGCTCCTGTGGGATTGTGGGGAGAAGCAGATAGTAAATGATAGTTACCAATGGGAAGATGGAGGAGCATACGAACATGGGAAAGGCTACTGAAACTACATGCACCAGGAAGGTAGGAAGGAGTGATTTACTTCCTTCGTTTCATAAGTCTTGTGTTCTTGAGGTTGGGGGAGGGCTTTTCAATTTAACAGAAGGAACCATCCCTATTCCATGTTGGGCGTAAGATGTGACACTGTAGGGTAAAAACTAACTGCAAGGATGACAATTCAAACCTACCAGCTGCTCCTTGGTTTCTGTGAGTCGGAACCTGCTCAGTGGCACTCAGTGACAACAATTCCATGTTAGGTGTAGAACTGGACCTTGAGGCACCAAAGGTGAGCACACAGCCCAGGGGGGAAGACAAAGAGGTAGGTGATTTAGGTAGGCTGCTGTAAATGCAGTGATACTCAAAAAGTCAAGATACCATGGGATCAGTAAGACAGGCTGCACTCAAAGGGAATCAGAGCCAGGGGTCCCCAGCATCAGTGATGACTGAGCTGCAATTTAAAGGATAAGGAAAAAGTCAGATGAGAAGGTTGGAGAGGGCAAAAGGGGAGATACTCCAGACAGACCAGCATGAACAAAGAGCAGCAGCAGCCATGTGACGCATCGTGAGTAAGAAGTGGAGGGGCTCATCATCACGACCCATGGGCCTGGCTGCAGGCCCTCTGGGGTCTATAAAGGGCCAGCCTGTGGGCACCTCAGAGCAGGGTGCCCGGGCCTAGCCCAGCAGGTGGTTATGTTCATAGGGGTAAATTCTAGTGCTGCCTATCCTCACTCCAGCTGACACCTTTCCGCACTCCTCAGTTCCTTCTGGATAGCTGGAGATAGGCACTGAGGGGCTATGAGGGAACCTTGCCAGCCTCATCTTTCCCTTGTTGGTCAATGACCATCTGGTGTCAGAAGAAAACTGCCGGCATCTGCTGCACTCTGCCAAGGCCATGACTGTCACAGCTGCTCACAGAGCAAAAGCCCAGGCCACCGCCCCTCCATGCGCCCTATCACAGACCTTCCCTTGCACACTGACTAGGGGGCCAGGACCCCTACTCCTGGGAAATGGACCCAGCACTTCCAGAAGCACCAACATGGAACCCTGGTAATGCTCGTCAGGGGCATACCCTCGCCCCGGCTCAGAAAACAACAGATTCTGGCTGTTGAGAGCAATAATGGCTAGACCTTTCCACATTCAATTCCGTATTCTCTCCCAACTAGACAAAGTTGAGAAAGGCTGGAGCCTCAGCCCAGGCTGCTTTGGGGCAGCACCAGGATTGTCCCCAGGATACATTGTGGATGATAGATCACTCCGCCCTCCCCACCCACCCTCAGCCTTGCCTGCGTATCCAATCCAATATGCAGTATGGCTTATGCCTGACCTGGTACCAGGCCCAGTCATGCCCAAACTGGTACAGCACCACCTCCCTGCTCTCTGGCCAGGTGTCATATATAGGTCATTTACCGTCTCTCTACAATTAATTGTAAGGCTATCACTGATGAGGTAATTTGAGGTTACCCCCCAATTTCCCAGAAATGAAGAATGTTGCCATCTCAGTGGTGCTCCAAGGTGCTATGTAACCCTAGAAGAAATAGCTGGTAGCTAACAGTTTCACTCACTCAGCCTGAGCCTTCCCTCCCAGTAGAGATGGCTGCCCTGTGGCTTAGAGAGTAAACACAGGGATCCACAGGCTGGCAGCACCTCTACCACATAACTTTCCTATACACATGTTGTCTTTGGGCCCTGGAGCTATACCCATTCATGTGAGTGATCTTGTACATGGACCACTTAGTCAGCAAGTGGCTCTTCTTCCTTTCAGACACAGCTTTCCTGTCCACTTGTGTTACAATATCAGGTCCGCCATTTTAGGCTCTACCTTCCGGGTTCTTCCCTCTCCCCTCCTGTCAACTCCATTTTGTAATGTTAGGTTTCTGTTTCCCCGCCCTAAGCTACAAGGCACGTAGTTTAAATGGCAACCTGGCTTTTGATAGGCCAAAGCTAAATTACCCCAGCAATGACCACTCCCTACCTGTTGAACCTATATAAGATCACTCCCGTCCCGTTGATTCTCCTCTCTTCTTTCTGCCTTCTGACTTCTCTCCCTGGCAGAGGTCACCTTCCTCGTCCTAACCCAGACAGGCCGTCTGGTGTGCGGTGTGGTTGATGAGCGGTGACGGGTTGTTTTCCCTTCTCAACTTGTTTCCTCTGTGTGGGTTCCCTCACTGCCTCTTGCTCACCAGCACTTTCACATTGTGAAAACTTATCTATTGTACTGCATGTTCCCCGGATTAGGCACCTGCTCCTTTCCAGGGTCGTATTTTAGACACTTGAGCGTTCCCACTGCCATCACCTTTAAACCCATTCAGTGACTGTAGAATGATTGCCCCCAGCACAGCTTTGGGGACTGTCTTAAGCTCTTGACTCAGTTCAAGTCTCCTACTTCCTGTGGGCATCTTGCTCAAGTTTTCACCACAGCTGTACTTAGCCCTGGTAGGGCAGACTTGGAAGGAAGTTCATCTTCCTGAATTAGCTGGTAAGTTGGGGTGAGAAAGAGGGTGGGGCCTGGTTTCACTTTTATGTACAGTCTAGGGTCACTGGAATGGTCACTGAGAAGTGCCAGGTCTGAGGACAGTGACCAGCTACTACTCCAAGGTAAGACCTTACCTCAACCCCTTAGTCTTGCCCCTCCTGCTTGGCCCACACTGGAGGAAATAGAAGCTGGAAAGGTCTTAGACGGTGGCTTCCCATCGTCAGCAGGGGTCCCAACGGTGCTTTTCAGAAGGAAGGCTGGCTACAGAGCTGATGTAGCTGAGAGAAAGGAACCAGAGACCCTCAGGCGTTCAATTTTGTACAGGCCGTACGCTGGGTCCTGGGAGGATGGTGCCAGAAAGGCTATGGTTCCTCTCTACAGGAACGTCCAGTAGACTGGAGAAGATGGACATGAGTGCATTTACCTAGTTTAGAAATGCTTTCTTGGGTTACTTCTGGAAAGCTCCACAGTGTCTTCCTCTAGAAGGTGTTGAATAAACTGAATAGATATGAAAGAATGAATAAGAGTGGATGAATGAATGATTGAACTAGCTGGGCCTCAGACACAGAGTAAATGCTATGTATGGTACCTGATCCTTTTCAAAGTTAGAGACATCATTTTATCCTTGACACTGACCTGTAGAATGTAGAATTAATCCCATTTGACTGATTTGGAAACCAAATATAGGTATATATGAGTTTGGGGGATTTGTTGGATACTGATGTCTTGGTTTTTAAAATTTTACAGAACTCTATTTTTGTTAGTCACTGTTTAGTCATTTCAGACCCCTGGTGACCCCTTTTGAGCAGAGTAAAACTGCTTCATAGATTTTTCACGATTGTAACGTTTCAGAAGGTTACTGCCAGGGCTACCTTCCAAGGTGCTTCTGGGTGAATTTGAATTTCTAAGCTTTTGGCTAGTAATTAAGTGTTTTAGCAGTTTGTACTACATAGGGAATCCTGTTGTTGTGTGTTGTTGGACCCATTCTGACTCATAGACCATATGACAGGGTAACTGCCCTTTAGGGTTTCCTAGATTGTAATTTATGTGGGGGCATAATAAAGGTCTTTTCTTCCACGGAGCCACTGGTGAGTTCAAACTACTGACCTTTTGGTTAGCAGCTGAGTGCTTAACTGTTGTACCACCAAGACTTCTTTTAAGGACTCTTACAAAGCTGTATTAGCACCTACCTATATTAAACCCTATACAGAGTCGCTATGTGTCGGAATCGACTTGACGGCACTTAACAACAACAATATGAAACCCTGGAGTCCTTCTGTGGCACTGTGGGTTAATGCACTGGACTGGAAAGTTGGTTTGAACCACAAGGTTGGTGGTTCAAGTTTACCAGCTGCTCCTTGGAAACCCTATACTAGGTTGCTATGGGTCAGAACTGACTCCATGGAACTTAACAACAACATAGTAAACCCTGTTGTGGCACTGTAGGATAAGCACTGGATGACAAGGTTGATTTGAACTGCAAGGTCAGTGATTCAAGCCAACACCTGCTCCTCGTAAACCCTATCCAGGGCTGCTATGACTCGGAACCAACTCAAAGGCATTTAGCAACAGCATATGAAACCCAATCCTTGGACCTGAAGGTACAGAGTTGGCCATGGGGTGCTTAGGGATTGCCCTCCAGACTAAGGGGACAGTTTGAGCAATGGTTGGGAAGCAGGAGAGGATGGGTTGACTTATAGATGGAGGGTGGAAGGAAGGAGCAGGAGAGGAAGCTTAGATGAGGATTGATCAGGAGAGCACAGGATTCTCCGAGAGTTCTGGACTTTTTCATCAGTAGGGAGCCTCACATTGTGAAAGTTTACTTCCTCTTTACAGGGAGATCGAGTAGGGGTATGAGGTGGTTACAGTCACTGGTGATGTTTTGAGTGGAGGTGGCATAGGGTGTAAGGCAGACTGGAAGCAGAAGTGTTGGTCAGTCACTCAGAATACTAAGATGGGAGGAAGGTGGGGGGCAGTGATGGTGGGGGCAGTGGTATGAGGGAGTGTCCTTCCATAGAGCCTGAGAACAAGGGTCAGGGATGCTGTGAGCTTCTCTGAATCTGTCTAGCCACGGTGGAGAAGAATTGTAGAAGTGAATGAGAAAATAAACCGAACACTGAATGTTGAGTCGGCTCCACCTAGCCAGTGCTTGAATAGTGATGTCTAGCAGACAGTGGAATTTAGGATTTGGCTCACGAGAGAGAGAGTTGGAGAACCCACACCCAGAGGTTTTACTCAATTCTTGGGGATGGGTGAGATAAAGAGGGAATGTGGAGAAGTGGGCCATGGACAGAAACCCAGAACCCCATCCTTTAAGAAAAGGAAGGGTTACTGAGGAAGACTGAGAGACTCAGTGAGAGCACCTGAGAAAAGCCATGGCCACAGAAACTGGGAGGAGAGAATTGCCGCTAAGAATGGCTCATGGCTGTGCATGCTGGGGGAGGACCATGAGAGGGACTGAGGTAAGTCTCGGTATTGAGCAGTTAGAAGACAGAGGTGACCACGTGAGGGAGATCACGAGGGTGGGAAGGTCACAAGACTATCCAGAAATTCTGCTGTTACAAAGGAAGAGAGAAGGGATTCAGTGGAGCACATTTCCCCTTTCCTCTACCCTGAAGGAGCCCCAGTCCCTGAGGGCATCTTCAGGGACTTCCAGGAACACCAATGCCTCCTCTGCTGGGGTGAAAAAAGCCCCTCCTTTCTACAGTCCTTTCACAACCATTGTCTTCTTTAATCCTCACAAGAACTTGAATTTATTTGTGTCCCAGAAAGGGACATTGAAGCTCCTAGTTTCTATTGAGATTTAGCTAAATCAGTCTGAAGGCACACCCTGGTATCGCCTTGGCCCCACACAGCCCTGTGGCATACTGATATCATAGATGAAGAAATTTAGGCAAGTGGTTGATAGAACTGGAGATTGCTTTGCAGGGAGCAGAACTTGGATTCTGAGTGCAGGCTTGGTTGACCTGTATAATGGCTCCTTCAAAAACATCCTTGAGCCAATGTTTGCATTGCACATTTTATCCCACAAAGTGTGTTCCCAGGCGTTGTTCTAATTATCACAGCATCCTTGTGAGGGGAAAGATTATTTTGTCCTGTTTTAACAGACACAGAAACTGAAATTTTAAAAGCTTCTAACCAATTTACTCCAAGTCATACCATTAGTGGAACTACTTTACGTAGGTCCACCACACAACACCCTGTGCACATCCTCCGACTACCTTTAGGATTACGTTCACACACGTTAAGCGTGCTGCTGACAAATCAGTGCCAACTCAGTGACCCCCTGTGTGTCAGATTAGAACCATGCTCCATATAGTTTTTGAGGGGTTTTTTGAACGTTTATTTTTAGTGAAAATATACACAGCAAAAACTACTCCCATTCCACTTTCTAGACACCATGACCAGTGGCCTTGATCACGTTCTTCACATGGCATCATTCTCCTTATTTCTGTTCTAGTTTCATTTCCACTTCCTCAATCTCCCTGCTCCCCACAATTCTCATCCATACTTTAATTTAGCTGTTGCCCTTTTGGCCATCCATCCATTTCTCTATCTTCGTATACGAAATGCAGAAGTCCTGGTATGGCACTGTAGAATGGTCAACTGTCTACAAGGTCAGCTGTCCAAGCCCACCAGCTGCTCCTTGGAAACCCTATGCAGGGTCACTGAGTCAGAACTGATTCAAAAGCACTAACAACAACATACAAAATGCAATACTCATGGGTGATGAAGACCCCCAGTGAGATGGACTGGCAAAATGGCAACATCAGTGGGCTCAAGCGTGGCAACAATTGTGAGGTTGGCCCAGGACCAGGCAGTGTTTTGTTCTGTTATGCATAGGGTCACTATGAATTGATACCAACTCAATGGCACCTAACAGCAACAAACAACAACAACCTGTTCAAAGGTGACTTCAGGGAATAGTTTCAAGGTTTGAAGAGCAACTCAGGGCCATAGTTTCAGGAACACCTCTAGCTTTAATAGGTCCAGTAAGTAGGGATTCTTTAAGAATTTGAAGTTCTCTCCCCTTTTATCAGGATTCATCATTGTGTTCCTGATCAGAACATTCAGTAGTGGTATCCAGACACCATCTAGTTCTTTTGGTTTCAAGGTGGAGGATGCAATGTGTTTCATATAGACAGTTGGCCTTGTACCATTCCTTCTCTAATTCTTGGGTTTCCTTCCTCATTTGTTCCAGATGAATAAAAACCAATAGTTAGTTGTATTTTAGATGGCTGCTCTTTAGCATTTAAGACCCCAGACACTACTTACCATACTGAGAAAGTGAAAATATAAACTTTAAGAACTCTATTATGCTAATTGGCTGGATTGCCCCATACATCCATGGTCCTAAAGCCCTGTCATGGATTGAATTGTGACCCCACGAAATATGTGTCAACTTTCCTGGGCTATAATTCTTAGTGGTTTGGCAGCTATATAATGATGCAATTTGTCAGTTATATAGTGATGTATCATCCCTATGATGTGATCTGATGTGGTAAGTCAATCAGTTGTAAGGAATTAGGGTGGAATGTGACTCCCTTACTCAAGTCACAGGTAAGGGTAATTTTCCTGGGGTGTGCCTTGCATTCCTTTTATCTTGCAAGAGATAAGAGATGTGAACAATAAAAAGTTTAAGAAAAAAGAGACACGAACAGAGCAGGCGGGCCCTGATTATCATCAAGAAAGAAGAGCTGGGAGTGGAGCACGTCCTTTGGATCCAGGATCCCTCTGCTAAGAACCCTCCAGACCCAAGGTTATGGTTGATGCCAAGATACATGTACTCCAAGGAATGTCAGGGCCCACAGATGTTGAGAAGAGACAATGACCTTCCTCCAGAGCTGACAGAGGGAGAGCCTTCCCCTAGAGCCAACACTGCATTCAGGCTTCTAGCCTCCTAAACTGGGAGAAAACAAACTTTTGTTTGTTATAATGTTGCACTTGCAGTATATCTGTTATTATTGCAGCACTAGATAACTAAGTCCCTAAACCAAGAAAACTAACTCCATGAATTGATGGATTATGTGTAATTAGTATCAGTATCTGCAACCCCACCGTGTTTGTTATTGTTGCAACACTATACACAATCTAACATTTCCCCTTTTTCCTGTGTACAGATTATTGACTTCAGTTACATCAGTCATGTTGTGCAAACTTCACCCATATTTGATCTCTGAGCACAGGAAGGGACAGGTGAATGTAAAAGATTGATAGCGAATGAATGGCATTTGGGTTGGAAATTAGCTTTCTCAGTGTTCTCATGGCACATGTTTCTAGAAATCAAGGGCCTTCTGTTCTGGTTGATTACTAAAAGATTGGTGACACTCAGAGGTTCTGAATTTTGTCCACAGCTTCCTGTTCCTTTCAGAAGGAAGTTGAGGGCCCAGGTCATAGTCTCTTGGGCCTACGGACTTAAGAGGCTCATTGTACCTTTTCTTCCATAGGTGGCCAAGCCCCATAGTGGAACCAATGGACTCTGTTGGGCCTGTAGAATTAGGGAGTGGGGCAGGAGCCCTGGGCTGCTCCCCGGAGGTCTTGTCTCATCCCTCAGACAGCTCCAAGCTGGTAAGTTCAGCACTAGGGACCTGTCTCATGCTAATATCTGTCCATAGGTACAGGATTGACTGCAGGTGCTATGGACCCTAGGTTCATTCCTATGCCCCATGCAACCCTTTGCAATTTACTGAGCCTTTCATATTGGGTCATAATCTATCTTCTTTGAGAATCCAGACAACTGCAAGATAGGTATTACCTCTTCATCTTACCAGTGAGGAGAGAAGACTTATACAGATGAGGTGGCAGCGATTCGAGTTTAGTGTTTCAGCTCCAAATGTGTTGCTTTCACTACCTTGCTCCCCATGAGCTCTCCAAAGAGGTAGACAAACTCTGGAAAGAACCCTGCATCACTGCTTATGTGTCACAAAGGGTGTTCTGGGTAAAAGCTGTGTCCTGAACCGCACTGTTCCCCACTTCACTCCTGTCTCCTCTTCCTCACTGCCCGATTCCCCTCACCCCTGTCAGCTAGTCACAGATGATGCTCTGCAGGTTTCAGCTACCACACTTGTTACCTGCCCAAACTGAGCTCTGAAATGGCCTCTCTTTTTTTTGCCACCTTGACCAAGATCTTAAAGCCCTCACATACCACACCCCTAAGCAGGAAGCACTTGTGTAAGTCAGCTCACATTTCTTAGTCTCTGTTTCCTCATTGTTGAAATGAAGAAGAAATGAGCTCACAGAGTTAAAGGATCTGCACAGAGCAGGGCCCATGAAAGGGGCCTTTGGTTTTCCAGTTTTGCCTGAAGTCCATTTGACCAGGCTTCTCGTCTCCCTCATCCACCCTGTGCTGTAAGTACTTCCTAAGCACTAAACTCTGTGCCAGGCCTCAGCTGTGCCCAGGGTCAGCACAACTAGGCCAAGGGTCTGCACAGCCAAGACTCGCTCCAGGTCTACCATCATCTCCTGAGATCCCGAGCTGGTCCTACATATACCTTGCTGGCTTTGGGACATCTATCTGCAGTATTAAGACAATTCATTCCTGTTGGCTTCGGGGACCTTCATGGGGCACCAAGTTTCCCTTGGCTGTGACTCTGGCTCCCTTCACCCAGTGGTATGAAAAGGTTAGTTAACCTTGTGTGGTCAGGACCCAGCCTCTCAGACTCTTGGCCCAATCCCCAGATCTTTTAACCACCCAAGGCACATGGGATCAGCTGGCTGTGCTTTATGGTCGAAATAAAACCAAACTAGTTGGAGTCCTGGTGTGGTGCTGTAGGATAAAGCACTGGACCACAAGGTAGGTTTGAACTGCAAGGTTGATGATTCAAACTCACCAGCCACTCCTTGGAAACCCTATACAAGGTCACTATGAGTCAGAACTGATTGATGACACTTAACAACAGTTGCCGTAGAGTTAACTCCACAGGGTTTTCAGTGGCTGGTTTTTCAGAAGTAGACCATTAGGCCTTTCTTCCAAGGTACCTCGGGGGAACTCAAATCTCCAACTTTTTTGTTAGCAGTCAGGCACTAAACCATTTGTGCCACCCAGGGAGTTCATGCTTCAAGGAAAGGAGAGCCTGTTTCATTGACTATCTCCTGTCTCACCACCTCACTTGTACAGTCTTCTCCATCCTCACAGCATCTCTGAGAAGTGGGTCTACTGTTGTTCTCACTTGGCTCTGAGTAGGCCAAGGCCCGGTCCATCCAGCCCCTTGGTAGGAGGAGTCAGCACTGAAGCCATGTGGACTCCAAACACTCTCTGATGCTTTGAGCTCTCTCCTAGCGAAATCTCTCCCAACAGGAGGTATGGAGGTGCTCTAGGAGCTTCTCCTGGCTGATGCCTGCTCCCCAGAGTCTGCCAGGGCAGTACTGACTTTTTTGCTGTGCTGCCATCTCCCAGACACTCCTTTCAAGCCTCTCCCTGCACCCAGAAGTACAAGCAGGGAAGAAAAACATCCACCGCTCAAATCATTGACTCCAGCATAACTCTACTGGTTGCATTAAGCAATAATAGAACACCCCTCACAACTGAACCACACTTTACACTTTCACATACATTATCCCTTAATGCCTTTGCCACCACAACCCAGTACAGTAATTCAGCAAATCCTCCCTGCTGCTCGCTTGGAACCAGTTGCTCAATGTGGTCCGGAGGCACAACAGGAACAAGACTGGTCCCTATCACCAGGGGACTCCTGTGTCTTATTCTCTCAGTTTTTCAGAAGAGGTGATTGGGGCTCAGAGAGAGATGTGATTTGGAGGTGGCAAGGTGAGAGCTCAGATATGCTTCCTCTTCTCAGTTCCTATTTGTTTACTTGGCTACCCCCTTGGGTGATATTAGGTGACTTTTCAGGTGACTTTGCTGATTCTTATCATGCTTCCCATTTTTGTGGAAATATCTTTATGTGGGTTCAGAGTGCACCGTGTCCTTTAATAGTTGTTTAGGCTAGTGGGAATGATAGCCCCTCTCTGAACCCTAGTTTCCTCACTTGTTAAAGTAGGGATCATCCTTCCTAACATGCACAGCTGCTGGGAGCATCTACTGTAACTCCAGCACATAACTGAATGCCGGCACAACAGGTAAGATCACATGCCTCGTTCAGGGGTCTGTTTCCCTTTCTCTCTACAAAGTAGGGAGATGGATAGAGTGGTCCTCACCTCCCACCACGGGCAGCACCCCCTCCCCAGTTCTCTCAGGAGCTGCCTCATTGTCCAGCTGCCTGTCGGTATTTCACAGCTGTGGGACCAGTTTGGGGTAGCAAGTCATTGGGCTGGAATTGAGATCATGCCAAGGGAACAGTATAAAACAGGAAATGGAATTTGAAGAACTGGAACCTTGGAGAGCTAAGTCAGTGTTGTTAGTTGCTATCCGGTCAGCTCCATCTCTTGGTGACCTAATGCACAAGAGAACCAAATGTTGTCCAGTCCTCACCATCTTCATCATTTCTGGTATGTTTGAGTCTACTGCTGTGACTACTGTTTCAATCCATCTCATTGAGGGTTTCCTTCATTTTCACTGGCCTTCTGCTTTACCAAAAATGATGTCCTTTATTATTGATTGGTCTTTCTTGATGATATGTCCAAAGTAAGTCTCACCATCCTTGCTTCTAGGAGTATTCTGGTTGTACGTCTTCTAAAACTGATTTGTTTGTTCTTCTGGCAGTTCATGGTCTATTCAATATTCTTCTCCAACATCTCAATTCAGCTACATCAATTCTACTGTTCTCCTTTTTCATTTGTTCAGCTGTTGCGTGTATATGAGGTGATTGAAAAGACCATGGCTTCAATTAGGCACACCTGAGTCATCAAAGGGACATCTTTGCTTTTCAGCATTTTAAAGAGGTCATGTGCAGCAGTTTTCCCCAGTGCAATATGTCCTTTAATTTCTTGACTTCTGTTTCCGTGGATACTGATTGTTGATCCAAGCCAAATGAAACTAGTGACAACTTTAAGTCCTCCAAGAATCCATAGGAGCTCTTGGGAACTCTTTGAAGGCTGGGAGAGAGGCTGTCAAGGAGGTTTCTGTGCAGAGAAGTGAGGTGCTGGTGGTCTTCTGGAGGCCCCTCCTCATGACTTGCCCTGCTTTTTGTCCTTCCTTCCTGCCTTTCTACCTCTCCCTCTAGCCTCTGATCCATCCTGGCCCAGGCTTTCCCCAACTCTATCTCTTGCTCTCGAGAAAAATTTGTTTGTGCTCTCCCCTAAAGCTCCAAATGACTTGTTGCTCCTTCATTTGTGTCACCTCCCTGATCAACTACCTGATTACCCTGCTTCCCCTGATCACTCTCTGACTTCTAATTCTGCCTTTTAAAATAAATAAAAAATAGTCACCCTTATTCCTAGAAGCACATGATATATTTAGTGACATGTTTCTTGTCTCCATATTGGGATAAAAGCTATACAGGAGCAGGACTTGGCTGGTTATGTTATGGCCAATGCTTGGATTAGTGCTGGACACATAATAGGGGCTCAGTTGCTATTTGTCACAAGGCTGAGTGGTTGGCTGAGGCCTCTCTGAGGTGTGGACTCCAAACTCACTCAGCTGGGTCTGATGGGCTTTGGGCCTAAGCACTAAAAGCAGAAACACTGGGACTTGACATTTCCTCATGCGTTTGTTCATTCGTCATTTCATTCAGCAACTACTCCTTGAGCATCTCTGTCTTTGGATGCCAGGACTGAACATGGGGAGAGCCTGGGGTGACAGGTGGGCAGACTTGCCTAACCCTGAATCCAAAGTGGAGGGAACAGGTGGGGTCATGGGAACTGAGAAGGAACGGAACGGAACTGTCATGGGGAGGAGCCTTTTGGGAAGGATGTAGGGTTGGGGCAGGCTGTGAGTGAAAAGAGTGCCCAGGTATGTGAGGTTGGGAGGGGGCAGAAGGCTGGCAAGGCTCAGGGGGATTTGTGCAGGGTCACTTAGGAAGTCAAGAAAGGGTGCTGCCTGGACTGGGGTGAGTGGGGGAGAGGGGCAGGCCTAGAGTAGGGGAAACTGGCTAGGCCTGCAAGACTTCTTCCTGGAAATCAGCTTGTTTCTTTCTAGGTGCAGGAATGCCTTCAGCAGTTCATGGTGACGGAGGCCCAGCTCCAGCAGATCCGGGCCAGCCTCCTGAGCTCCATGGAGCAGGGGTTGATGGGACAGAACCCAGCCTCAGCTGTTCGGATGCTGCCCACATATGTGGGCTCCACCCCACACGGCACTGGTGGGTGGCCAGGCCTGAAAGAGGAGTTCTGGTCTGGGGAGGGGACTCCCTTATTCCTGTCCCTGTTCCTAAGGTCTCCTGACCAGACTTTGCAGTCATGGGAGTGTTTCTGGGAAGCAGTGGCTCTCCATGCCTTTCTGTGACCTACTTGTCCCCAGAGCAGGGAGACTTCGTGGTGTTGGAGCTGGGAGCCACAGGGGCCTCGATGCGTGTTCTGTGGGTGACTCTGACAGGCATCGAGGGGTGCAGGGTGGATCCCAGGAGCCGGGAGTTTGTGATTCCCCCAGAAGTGATGCTGGGCCCTGGCCAGCAGGTGAGAATTCCCAGTCCCTAACCTCTGGAGTTGGCAGAGGGGCACATGGTGACAGATGCGGCTGAGCGCTCATGTATCCTTTAGCTCTTTGACTTTGCTGCTCGATGCCTGGCTGAATTTTTGGAGGCATTCCCTGTGAAGAATCGGTGTCTACCACTTGGGTTCAACTTTTCCTTCCCTTGTCACCAGACGGGCCTGGACAGGGTAAGAGGATGAGGACACAGAACAGAGGGTGGAGAGAATGCAGCCCTGGGAAATACTTTGGTGGGGTAACCTGTCTTCTTTGCCCCCAGAGCACCCTCATTTCCTGGACAAAGGGCTTTAGGTGCAGTGGTGTGGAAGGGCGGGATGTGGTCCAGTTGCTGAGAGAGGCCATCGAAAGACAGGGGGTAAGTGTGGGTGGGTATGTTGGGAGGTCTGTCCACATGGTGGGGCAATGGACCATGGATACGAAGGCTGAGTCTGTGTTTCTGGGAGTGCCTGTTCTGACACTGACCCTCACCCTGTGTAGTACCTTCCTTCTCGGTTCATATCCTTTATCTGGCTTAACCCTGGGGAAAAGTTGCCACAATTTCTATTTTATAGATAAGAAAACAGGCTAAAAACCAGTTGCTGTCGAGTTGACCCTGACTCATGGTAACCTCATGTGTGTCAGAATAGAATGTGCTCTATTGGGTTTTCAATAGCTGCTGTTTTGGAAATAAATTGCCAGACCTTTCTTTCAAGACACCTTTGAACCTCCAACCCTTTGGTTAGAAACAGAGCACGTTAACCATTTGTACCATGCAGACTTTAAACTGAAGCTTGTTGTTGTTGTTGTTGTTATTGTTAAGTGCCTTCAAGTCAGTTTCAATTCATAGAGCAGAAAGCCTCATCATTCTGAAGACTGAGTCTAAGAAAGGTCAAATAAATGCTCAGGACCCGGAGGAAACAGAAATGAAAAGACTTTGGCCGTGTCCTGGAGGATCTCCCAGTCTAGTGTAGACAGCATTTCCATATAATCATGTCACTGTTGAGTGACTCTAGGGACACTGAGGAGGGAACACGTGCCACCTGGGAAGGGCTTGAAGGTAAAATTTGTCAGGTGCTTAAGCTAGGGCTGAACAGGGCGATCTGGCCTCAAGAACTGGACATGCTATTTGAGACTGGCTGTTTGAGACCTGCCAGGGTCTGCTGTGAAGGCTGGTGGGAATCAAGGTTCAGATGATGGGACTTGGGATGCCAGGCAAGGCAAGTGAATGCAGAGTATTGAAGGACACCCTTCAGCTCAGATCAGTGCTTTATGGATCACCCTGAGGGTCTGGGTTCCAGAAGGAGAAGTAGAAGAGAATGTGAGAGGGTGGAACCAACAAAGTATGTGAGACAGAAAAGTGTAGACCATGTGCACATCTGAGTCTCATGGACTGGGCATTTCTGTCACATGGGGCAGACCCCTGACCTCTGCCCTCACCATTGTACAGGCCTCCAGCCTTGCCGTGGTTGCCGTGGTGAATGACACAGTGGGCACCATGATGGACTGTGACCCAGGACTTGGGCCGTGTGAGGTTGGGCTCGTTGTAGGTGAGTAGGGCCATTCCTGAAGGTGGACAGGAGCGGTAGGAATGACTGTTGGCTGAGCAGCCTGTGACGGAGTCATCCCTACCAGACACTGGCACCAATGCTTGTTACATGGAGGAGGCACGGCATGTGGCGTCGCTGGATGAGGACCGGGGCCGGGTCTGCGTCAGCGTGGAGTGGGGCTCCTTCAGCGATGACAAAGCCCTGGGACCAGTGTTGACACCCTTTGATAAGGCCCTGGACCAGGGGTCCCTGAATCCTGGTGCCCAGAGGTGGCCTGGGGTCCCCATGCTCTGCTACCTAGCCCTGGGCCTTGCCTGTCCCCTGTGCTCAGACCCTTAGATCCCTACCCCGCATTGTCTCCAAGGTGCTCCCTGGGAGCCTGCCTGGACACAAGGAAGGAAGGATTCAAGGTTCTAGAACTCCAAGTTCTCAACCCTTGGCCTCCCTCCCTTTTGACTCTGGCTGGCACTGACAGGAGTTATCCTCCTTTGAGTCTCACTAACCCTCCAAAAGACCCCTCAACTAACTCAGGCCAGAGGGGCAGCAAGGTCTGGCCAGACACCCACTTGCCTCCAGGGAGAGTATCTGCTTCTGGAGCCTTCTGTCTGGGGTCCTCTCTGTGGGGGCTATTGGAAGCCATACCTGGTGGACTGAGGGCTTAGGAAAGGCTCTGTCCCATTGTCCTTCCTACCTTCAGGTTTGAGAAGATGATTGGGGGCCTGTACCTGGGTGAGCTGGTGCGGCTGGTGCTGGCTCACCTGGCCCGGCGTGGGCTTCTCTTTGGGGGCTGCACCTCACCTGCCCTACTGAATCAAGGCAGTGTGGGCCTGGAGCATGTGGCCGAGATGGAGGAGTGAGTTGGGAAAGGGCAGGCATCTTGAGCTGGGTTGGGTACTCTGTCCCCACAAGTGGTCTTGGGCTTCCGTTGGGCGTGGGAACCTGGAGATTCTGGGTTACCAAGCCTCAATCCAGCACCCTGTCCCTCCCTAGCCCCTCATCTGGGGAAGCCAGAGTCCTCGCTGTCCTGCAGAATTTGGGCTTGAGCCCAGGGGCTTCCGACGTGAAGCTTGTGCAGCTTGTGTGTGAGGCTGTGTCTACACGAGCTGCCCGCCTCTGCGCTGCTGCCCTGGCCGCTGTCCTTGGCCGCCTTCAGCACAGCAGGGAGCAGCATGCGCTCCAGATTGCAGTGGCCACTGGAGGCCAAGTGTTCAAGCGACACCCCAGGTATTGTGAATGCCAAGTCTTGTGTGAGCGGATGGTGCGAATGTTCATGTATGATGAACCTCACCATGTATCACGACTACATGTGTGTGTGAAGAAGGGGACAAATGACACCGAAGTAGATGAGGGTTCGACAAGGGTGATGGGCAGCCAGAGAGAACAGTGGAGAGGCCAGTGCTTCTCTCTGTGTGGAGGGAGGGGGCTGCATGTTGTTGGTACCCAGAACAGATTTAGGATGGGTGGTGCCAAGCTGGGAGCATTGTGTGTCCACAGGTTCCACAGCCTCCTGCAGAAGACAGTGATACTCTTGGCTCCTGGGTGTGACATCTCCTTCATCCCCTCTGTGGATGGCGGTGGCCGGGGGGTGGCAGTTGTAACTGCAGTGGCTGCCCGCCTGGCTGACCACCGCCGCCTATTGGAGGAGACGCTGGCACCATTTCGGCTGGACCGGGAGCAGCTGGCAGCAGTTCAGGTCCAGATGCGAGAGGCCATGGCCAAAGGGCTCCAAGGGGAGGCCTCTTCCTTGCGCATGCTGCCCACTTATGTCCGAGCCACACCTGATGGGAGTGGTGAGATCTGGTTGAGTGTGGGGCTGGGACATGGGCCCCTGGGGGTTCCAGCATGTGACCAATGGTGCTGAGGGTCTCTGCTCCACAGAACGTGGTGACTTCTTGGCCCTTGACCTCGGGGGCACCAACTTCCGGGTCCTCCTGGTGCGTGTAACCACTGGAGGTGTGCAGATCACCAGCCAGGTCTATGCCATCCCTGAGAGAGTGACCCAGGGCTCTGGGCAGCAGGTACTCACAGTCTGGGCCTGATGTTGGGGTGGGGATAGCTGAGTAGGGCCCAGTGCCTGACCTGGTCACCCCTGCAGCTCTTCGACCACATTGTGGACTGCATCGTGGACTTCCAGCAGAGGCAGGGCCTGGGCGGGCAGAGCCTCCCCCTAGGCTTCACCTTCTCCTTTCCGTGTAGGCAGCTTGGCCTGGATCAGGTGAGAGAGGGAGGCCCAGGACAGTGATCCTCAAGGCCTCCCTGGATGGAGTGGGCAGGAGGCCAGGGGAGGGCTGGAGAGACCTGGATCTGGGGTATGAGGTGGGCAGAGGCACTGCTAGACTTCTCCTGCATCTGACTTTAGTCTCCCCACGTGGAAGGGACATGATAAAGTGGCCCAGAGTCCAGAGCTATAAAGAAGGCTGGGGTGAAGAAGGATATCATGCTCATGGGGACCACCAGTGGGCAGAAGAGTAGAGCTAGGGCTCAGGGTAGGAGCACTTGCTCTCAGGGCAAGTGAGATGTGGGGCTGCCAGAGCCCTAACCTGCCCCAGCCATAGCCTAGTGCCCTGGTGGGAGTGGTTCTGGCTCTGTGACCTGAGAGGTCTGCAGTGACAGTCTCTTTGCCCTCTCTCCCTTTCTGTTCTTGCTTGCTGTATTCTCAGGGCCTGGTTCTGCAGTGGGTGCCCAATTGAGGTGACAGTGCTGTAGGCAGAGGTCTGGGTGCAGTAGCCCCTCAGCACATACCTCCATGTGTCCTGTGATGAGTGTGATAAACCCTCAGATGGACACATGTCGGGACTGCCATGAATCTACAGGTCTTGGGCCAAACTCCCAGGATCCTCATTTTCACTTTGAACTTCTGCCTGGATGCCCACTCAGTGCATTCTGAGATCCCCTGTGGTCACTGGGCAGCTTTAACCATCTGACCACCCAATTTCAGGGTGGTGCCCATCCTCTAACTCTGTCCCCATATCTCTGACACGGGACTGCCTTGAACTTTCTCTGGCGCAGTGGTCTTTTGGGTCTTGTGATCAGCTTTGGCCTCTCTGCTGGGTCTGCTGTGCTCCACTCTTTTTGATTAATCCTTGTAGGATTTCTATGAGTCAGAATCTACTTGATGGCTGTGGGTTTGTGTGCTTTTTCAAATTATTTTTCTATGATGTGAGAAGTAAGAGTGACACATGGTATAGACCCAGGTGTGTAAGAAGCGCATTCTCACTCACTTTCTATAACTGGACTTAATTTCCATGTCAAGCCCTCAGGCTTTGAAGGAGTGATGACTTAATGTTGATCCTTCCCAGAAGTGGTTCTGCTCCAGAGGAGTGGGGCACGGGACTGGTGGTGGACCCCTCTCAGCTGCGTAGTGTTCTGCTGCTGTATACAGCATGCCAACATGTGGAGACCAAGGAAATGGACCTCAGCCATTTCCTCTCTCAGGTCTTTATACCTCCCTGGGCATTACCTGGGGAAGGTGGACAGAGGCTGCTTCTGCTCTTGGAGACCCAACTCTTTCTGTCTTTCCCCTATACTGGGACTCAGCCTAGGGTGGGAGGGCACAGGACATCTTTCTTGCCTCTTCCCCCACCCAAACCTGGCTGTGGTTTTCTCTCCCCAGCCTGGGGCATCACTGCCTTGTCTGGGAATGGGAGGCTGTACTACTTCTCATGTTGTGGCCTCCCCCAGACTGGCTCTCCCCTCATCCTTGCTCTCATTCCCTCTGGTTTCTGTGTTTGAGACAATGAGCACAGAACACTTTAAACCAAAATCCAAAATCCACTGCCATGGAGTTGTTCCTATAGGACGGATCTTTATGGGAGCAGATCGCTTCATCTTTCTCCCATGGAGTGGCTGGTGGGTTTGAACTGCTGACCTCGCTTATCCCACTGCATCACCACACAGAACAGTCATTTTCTCCTAATGGAACTGATCTCGCTCTCCTGCCCCTCCCTCAGAGGAGGCACACCAAAAAAAGAACATTCCCTAAGTACAGTCACGAGCTTTGTCCCTTGTTGTTGTTAAGTATCATCGAGTCTGTTCTCACTCCTATCAACTCATATATAGGGTTTTTGAGGAGCAGCTGGTTTGAACCACTGACCTTACAGTTAGCAGTCCAATGCTAATCCCATAACGTCACACTCACTATTTAGGTTCAATTTCCCAACACAGAGGCTCATTGGCCTTGCCCCTGATTCTGCCCAGGTGCCTGGGTTCTGAACACTCCCACTTGTCCTGCACTAGTCTCTGGAATACAAAAGCCAAGTTCCCATGAGCATGGCTCTGCCTCTGACTCCTTTCAAGTGACTCTTCCCAGATTCAACAGCGGAATCTGCTGTCATTGGGAGCTCTGAACCTTCTCTGTGCTCTCTTCTCAAACAAAGCACTCACGTGCCCAGCTCTGTTCATTCATAACCCAATAATGTAGGGCCATTCCATCTGGGCAAATGTCTTAAAATCCTCAGACCATCTGAGCATCTTGGAACTAATAATAGGAGACAGCAGTCAGTGCTTATTAATAGGGTTCTTCACACTGAAAGCCCCTGAGGAAAGGAAAAGGGGCAGAGGGTAAGGCCTGGAGAATGGATCCTACTTGGGGAGGGGAGGAAAGTGTATGTGTGATGAGAGGCAGGCTTAGGGGAGGAAGAGTGAGCTTGCTCTGCTGCAAGGGGCCTCCAGCTTCATGATTTCCTTGGTCCCACCCCAGGGCATCCTCTTGAACTGGACCAAGGGTTTCAACGCATCAGACTGTGAGGGCCAAGACGTCGTGGCTCTGCTGCGGGAAGCCATTGGGCGCAGACAGGTGGGAGCCTGCCTCCAGGGGCCCTGGGGGGCTGTGGCAGGCCTTGGGGAAGCAAAGGGTCTCCTGCTTCCTGAGAAGGGGGGTCCTCTGTAGTAAAGACCTCTGGGTCCAGCGCCGGTTGCCGTGACGACCATGTTGCCCAGCAACGAGCAGCATCCTTTTATGTACAGGCAGTGGAGCTGAATGTGGTTGCCATTGTCAATGATACGGTGGGTACCATGATGTCCTGTGGCTATGAAGACCACCACTGCGAGGTTGGCCTCATCGTTGGTGAGAAAGGGCCCTGCTCTTTTGTGCCTCTACTACCCGAAGTTACTTCATTGCCTGATGTTGAATCCTCAGGGTGGACATCCCCCAGCACTGAGAATGTGGGATCATTCCCATCGAATTCAATGCGGCTCTGGAAAGCACACCTGGGCTGGGAGTCTGAACTTGAGATTCTAGCCCTGCTCAATGACTGATCAGGCTCTGAGCTTCAGTTTGTAAATGAATCTAGACTGTGGAGTCTTACAGATTTGGATGGAAATATGTTGCCATTTCTAACTGTATGAAGTCCCTGAGTGTATAGTTAATGCACTCGGCTACTAACAAAAAGGCTAAAGGTTCGAGTCCACTCAGTGGCATGTTGGAAGGAAGAACTGGCCATCTACTTCCGAAAATCAGGCATTGAGAAAACCTATGGAGCACAGTTCTATCCTGATACACATGGAGTGGCCATGAGTCAGAACTGACTGGATAACTTGTGTTTATTCTCCTATCTGTATGACTTTGGGCATATCACTAGAGCCTGTTTCCTTATCCCTAAGATGGGCATAATGACAAAGCCTGTCTTAAGGATGAGTTGTTAAGCGCCATCAAGTTGGTTCTGACTCATAGCAACCTTGTAAAGGATCTCCAAGGAGCAGCTGGTGGGTTTGGATTGCCAACTTTGTAGTTTGCAGCCCAATACTGATCCTACAGCATCATACCAGGAGTGAGAGGGGCAAATGTGTATACTCAAAACTGGGACTGAGTGGGGATGGGACAATGAGTTGAGATGGCCCACTTCAGTGTTCTAGAGTCTAAGCCTTTATTAAGCACTGACCCTATGACCAGCTGGGGCTGGATGAAGGGACAGAAAGACATGTAAAAAAAAGGGGAATCTCTGCCTTCATGGAAGTGACCACCTAGGAGGGAGGGAGTTGAGCCCTGAACAGCAGGTGGCAATTAGAGGTGACTCTGACTCCAAATAGGATGGCCAGATTCCAACAGGACCAAAGAGGATGTAACAAATCCTGGAAAGGGTTTAGCTCAGCAGAGGAGGATGATGGTCTCTTAGAACACAATTTCTTGGATGTGGGTCTCTTAGAACACAAGGCATGGAAGCCTCCCATTCGCCTGTCACAGGGAAGCTGGTAAGCAAAGCCACACCCAGATCTCCATGCATAAATGACAGGTGGAAGCCAGCAAGGGGCCACCTACCTAGGACTGAATATATGTTGGGAAAAGGAAGGAGACACCTTTACTCAGGGTGGGCCTGCTGCCTGGAATGCTGTTTCCTTTCTGTGCTTCTTGACATCAAGGTCCCATTCAAACATCACATCCTCTCTGGAGTTTTCCTGACCCTCTAGGCAACCCTGTGCCTTTCCCAGGGCCCATGCCAGCAGTAGCAGAGCTGGCTGTTCACTGCCCATCCTCTGACTAGACCATAGAGCTCCTCACAGCTGATTTCTCACTAGGGTCCCAGCTCCTGGCCCAGAACCTGTAAATTTGAGGGCCTGGGAGGCTGGTCTCAGGAGCTGGGGCTTCTCAGAACAGACAATGGGGAGCTGTCATGTGCCTCCAGGGGAATGACAACTGAGGAGGCATTCTAGAAAGAGCACTCTGGGCTAGCATGGCAGAGGCACTAAAGGTAGGGCATTGGGAAGGAAGGAGGATGGAACTGGGCAGGAGACAAGTTGAGCTGGGCAGATGGAGAGATCAGGAAGAAGTCCCAACGGTGTCACTGGGAGTAGGAAAGGCTCAGAAGGATCTGGTCCCTGACAGTGAATGGCTACCATCTGGTCTGACCTCTGCAGGAACGGGTACCAATGCCTGCTACATGGAGGAGCTCCAGAACGTGGCTGCTGTAGCTGGAGACTCGGGCCATATGTGCATCAACATGGAGTGGGGCGCCTTTGGTGACGATGGCACATTGAGTGTGCCTAGCACCTGCTTTGATGCTAGTGTGGACAGAGCATCTATCAACCCTGGCAAGCAGAGGTGGGCTGGGCCCAGGTAGTGGGGGCTTGTAGTGGCCAGTAGTGGCAGTAGTGGTGGCTGACGGAGTTTCCTCTTCACACAGGTTTGAGAAGCTGATTAGTGGCATGTATCTGGGGGAAATTGTCCGCTACATCCTGTTGCATCTGAACAGCCTTGGGGTGCTGTTCCGGGGCCAGCAGACCCAGTGCCTACAGACTAGGGACATCTTCAAGACCAAGTTCCTGTCTGAGATTGAAAGGTACTTTGGCATTCATCTACCTCTCCCACCTCCCAAGAGCCTATCTCCATGGTGGGCGGGGTGCTGGGGCGGGTCTGCCCTAGAGAATGGAGAAGTGAAAGGAGTAATAAGGGGGCTGCTAATGCAGGAACCACCTCTGTGCTCTCTACCCCCTGCCTGCTCCTCAGTGACAGCCTGGCCCTGCGACAGGTCCGAGCCATCCTGGAGGATCTGGGGCTGCCCCTGACCTCTGACGATGCTCTGATAGTCCGAGAGGTGTGCCAAGCCGTGTCTCGGAGGGCCGCCCAGCTCTGCGGGGCAGGCGTGGCCGCAGTGGTGGAGAAGATCCGCGAGAATCGGGGCCTGGAGGAGTTGATGGTGACCGTAGGAGTAGATGGGACCCTCTACAAGCTTCACCCCCAGTGAGTGGGGGAGCCTGGGCTGGGCAGGGAGGCAGGGCTAGCTGGCCTAGGCTCATCCCACCCTCTGTCCTCCCAGCTTCTCCAGCCTAGTGGCAGCCACTGTGAAGGACCTGGCTCCGCGCTGTACAGTCACCTTCCTGCAATCGGAGGATGGATCTGGCAAAGGTGCAGCTCTGGTCACCGCCGTCGCCTGCCGCCTCGCCCAGACCACCCGAGTCTGAGGACGTCTCTGGGAACCACAGGGTTTCAGCCCCAGCCTCAATGTACCAGGACCTGGGCACAGCCTGTCCTCAGAACCCCCAGAAGATCCCTTGCATGATCCTCAGTAGCCACCCAACCTTGGCCCCTAACTTTCCCTGAGAGAAGTGACACTCGGGTTAGCAATATATATATATAATTTATTTACATTCACGTCCGCTAAAATCCCTACGCGCCCCGGCGGCCGGGCAAGGCTGTGTACATAAGGCCAAGTGTAAGTGCGTGAATGCACTTAAGACGGAGTCAGGACACAAGCTTCACATGGCGGCCTGAGTGGGGCTCGTCCAGCCCCGGAATGGGCACGCCTGGCACGAACACTCGCCGTTGCCCAGCACGGGGCTTCCATTGCATATTCACACGCCCCGACGGGCAGGACACCTTGTGGCTGGGGCCTGGGCTTGAGGGCCGGGGTGGGGAGAGCCGTTCAGTGTCCCTGGTAGGTGGGAACAGGGCAGCATGTGAGAGGCAGATGTGTACAAACACTGGGGGGCATGAGGGACGTGGGCAAGACCCCGGTGCACAGGCGTGAGATGTGATGGTGGTGGCGGGCATCTGCATGATGGTGGCGGGGAGTGCGCATGTTCCCGCATGTGGTTGTGTGCCTGAGTCCAGAGGCCTCTCCTGCCAGCCCGGCTGTGCCCTTGGCCCCTCTGACGTGCCCCTACCCAGCAGGCACAGAAACGTTTGCATAAGGTCCAGCTCAGGCAGGAGGCGGGGCCTCAGCCGGAGCCCAGCGTGTGCGTGCATGTCCGTGTGCATGCGGGGCCCTGGCCAGGGGCAGGAGGAGAGGTAGCATCACACGTACAGACACACACACACACACACACACACACACACACACACGAGTGGGCTGGCACTGGCCTGGCTCTGGTGCTGGCTCCCTGGGTCCGGGGGAGCTGGAGCAGAGGCAGAGCAGGTGGCAGTGCCAGCCTGGCCAGGCAGGCCATAGAGGACGGGAGTGTGGGCAGGGTCTGAAGGACCGGCATTAAGGGACTGCATCAGTCACGAGGGGGCCTGTCCACGCAGCTCTCCCTGGGGTAAGGGGAGGGCCCCTATCCAGTGTCTGTGTCCTTGGCGGGTGCCAAAGCTGGTGAGAATGTAGGCGTTGAGGGTCCAGTGGCTTCAGCACTCGGCCTCTGATACTGTGAAGAGGCCAGAGTCTGGCTGTCCCAGACCGGTCACAGCTGCGGCCAGCTGGCTGAGGTTGCCGTTGGGGAAGTGCCGTGCCTCCCACAGGTTGAGGATCATGGCTGTGGGGCTGGGCTTGGAGGCAAAGAAGCTGAGATGGCTGTGAAGGTGAGGAGAGCCCATTAGCAGCCCAGCCGCAATCCTGACTGGCAGCATCCTGCACCCCACCATCCCCTAACCCCGAGTCTACTCAGGACTTCCCTTCTGCCATGCACTGAACTGCAAGGGACATGGTCCAGGCCCCCTAGAGTCTCAAAAGGAGTCTGGACCTGTCTAGTCCCCTTCCCACCCTGTTCACCGACTAGACTGCAGTAGGCCCTCAATGTCCTGCCTTTTCCTGACCATTCCCCACATACCTGTCCAAGTGGAGTTTCTGGGCCAGAGTCCGCCAATCGGCACCCCGACTGCAAGGTGGGTCTAGGCTGGTAATAATCTTCTGCCGAATGAGGAAGGGGATCTTGAAGGCACTGGGGCCCACCAGGGCTGGGACCCCCCCTTCACTCTCCAGAGACAGCAGCTCAGCAAACCTTGTGTCCTAGAGAAAGGAGAGGTGGAGGACCCATTAGAACTTTTGAGGCCCAACTCCACTGCTGCCTCTTAACAGTGCACTCCCAGGCGAGGCCCCGCTGCATGCTCCCTCTAACTCAGAGGCACAGTGACTTGCCCAAAGCCAGTGGTCTTACCATGTATCCCTCTAGGCTGCCTCTGCCTGACCCCTGCTGAACCTCACTGTTCTCCATTAACTGATGCTTGTCAAACTCTTCCTCATCCTCCCAAGACTGAGTACAAGGTCCCTGCTCATGAAGCCCTTCCGTCTCCCCCTAACTCCTTGTACCCTATCCTTTTCAATTGCCCCCTGAGTCTGATTGCGTTTGTTTGTATTTGCATTGGAATAACTATTAAGAGCTTCCCAGGAGGAGTGGGGCTGGGTGAGCTTGGGAGCAGGGATGGGCAGGGTAGGCCCAGTGAGTGGAGCATTCTGGGAGGTGGGAGTACATGCATAGAAGTGCTGATGCCCTCTCCTGCCCACCTTGGTGATATTGAAGTTGATGTTGAAGCTCTGCCCATCGCCCTCCACCTGCCACACCCACACCTTGCAGGCCAGGTCACTCGTGCTGGGGTTGACTCGCTCCAAGGTGAAGGTGCAATGTAGGTACTGCTGCGTGCCATTCCAGATGTGATAAAAGGGGATCTCCTGGGGGAGGGGGGAGAAGGGAAGCAACTCATCAGGTGTGCTCAGCCCTGGGAAGCCTGAGTACTGGTCTGCAGGCCAGGCCCTCACCTGATAGCTAACGAGCAGCTTGCTCTTCCACAGGGAGCTGGGCACATCGTGGATGGACAAGCGCAGATTGTGGTAACTGTCCTTGAAGTGTAGAACCCGAGGCTCCTGGATCAGTTGACCCCCCAGCTGCTTCTCCAGCTGCACCACTTCCTGCAGTGCCCAGGCAGGTCAGGTGGGTCTGGGGGGGGCGGTCCCCTCCTGCCCCCCCACTTGCCCACCCTGGCCAGGAGGCCTCTGTGTCTAGGAACCTGAGGTGGCAGTACCTTGAGGGCATCGTGGGTGTCATGTAGGCAGTAGACCCGGATATTATACTCGAGTGAGGTGCACGCAGTGGGTGCGAAGAGGAGCAATCTGAGGCGCTTGGCTGCAGCCACGCTGAGGGCCTCTCCCACCAGGGCGAAGCGGCCCAGCTGCTCAGTGAAGATGTAGCAGGCTCCGGGCTCTAGTTGGCAGTAGTAGAGGTGGGAGGGTGCCTCCTCGCCCAGGTGCAGCACATCCTGCAGGCAGGCCGGTGGTCAGTGTGGTCCTCAGGCCACCATACTCTGAGAAGAGGCTCAGAGAGTTGGGGGAGCAGGGGCATTTTAAGGCTGCATGGCTACCTCTCCACTTTGAGACCAGTGCTGGGGGTGCTTCAGGCTTGGGGAATTCCCTGGCTCACCTCCCAGCTGCCCTCGCATGACTGTTTCTTGAGGCGTAGGCTCCAGCTCTCAGGACTGGGCTCCCCGCAGTGGTCCATGGCAAGGATGACAGGTCTCGTGAGCAGGACTCCAGGGGGCCCGCAGCTAACGATGGGACTCAGCAGGGTCTGACAGCCAGCTAGGGGCAACCTCAAGTGGGGAAACAGGGGCCGGAAGGGAGAAGTGTCAGTGGGCTGTCCTGGGGGCAGGACTGGGGTGGGGGCAGGACAAAGCATGGTGGGGAGGACTATGGAACTTGGTAGACCTTAGGATTCCCCTTGGAGGTAGCTCTTCCCATACCCTCCCTTTAGGCCAAGCCAGACCAGACAGCAGCTGTGGTGGGGAGGAGGCGGTACGGTGATGTGGGACTAGAGGAACACCCCACCCCACTGCTCACAGCATGGCCTGTGCCCACACCTCACATCCTCAGGCTTGTGCAGCGTGAGGTAGATCTCGTAGATCTTCCCCCGGGGTATGGCATCTGGAGGGATGAGGAGGCTGATCCCTGAAATAAAACAGAGGAACCAGAGCTGATCTGCTGCAAAGATACCACAAACCTTTACCCGGCCTGGTGGGGGAAGAGCACACGTGCCATCCTGAGGAGCCACAAGAACCTCCATGCTTTTCAACCAAGTAGCGAATCCACCACAGGTACAGTGCTGGGTCACAGGGACCCCAAGAGTGGCTGAGCTAACTTGGGGGAAAATCATGTCTTATTAGCTTAAGCACAGAAAATCTGGAAAAAGTGGTGCCTAGTATGCTGCACCTACCTCCACTGTGATCTGCTTATAATTCTCCACTGCCTCCCAGATAAAGTTTCCTGGCCTGGCACGTGAGACCCATCACCTCTGACCCCACTGCCTTCCAGCCCAGCCTGTACTGAATCCTGAGCCATTTCAGACCCACTCCCCTGAACACGCCTCTGTCTGTCAGCCTGCCCTGCTCATGGGCCTCCCCCATCGTTGGCCATCTCTGGGAGCTAGCTCCCTGCTGCTTTGTGTGATTTTGTTCCCCACTGAACAGCCTGCTCCCTGCAGTGGGGAAGTAGCCCTCCTTGGTCTGGGAGCCGTTTTAGACATTCTCTTGTTTGAGCTGATTCATTTCTGTTCCCAGCATCTTTCGGAGTCTGGCGCAGAGCCGCATCAGAAAGCGTCTGCTGAGGAGGAGCAATTCCAGGGAGGAGGCAGTGACTCAGAACACGGCAAGGGCAGGGTTGGGGGTGTTATTCCAGGGGTAGCCAGGAATGGTCCTGCTCCTGACTTCCTTCCCTTTTAGGACTGTTACACGGTATGTTGAAGTCTTAACCACTGTGCCTGTGAATATGGCTTTGTTTGGAAATCAGCTCTTTGAAGATGTTAGCAGTTAACATGAAGTTAACAGCTTACTTAACTGGAGTAGGGTAAATCATAATCTCACATGACTGGTATCCTTATAAAAGAGGAGAAGAGATGCAGACACACACAGAGAAGCCAGGCACGTGAAGACGGAGGCAGAGATGGTGTTATGCTGCTGCTGCAAGCCAACTCCTGAGACTATCAGAAGCTGAGAGAGACAAGGAAGGGTCTTCCCCTAGGGCCTTCAGAGAGCATAGCCTGACTGACACCCTGAATTCGGACTCCAGAACTGTGATACAATGTTGTTGTTGTTGTTAAGTGCCATCGAGTCGGGTCCGACCCATAGTGACCCTGTACAGGGTTTCCAAGGGTGTAAATCTTTACGGGAGTAGAAAGCCTCATCTTTCTCCCGCGTAGCGGCTGGTAGTTTCGAACCACTGACCTTAAGGTTCACAGCCCGATTCGTAACCACTACGCTACCA